AGGAGAAAAGACTCTGCTCAGTGGGAGAAGCAGTGTGTTGGAAAATCCTACCACAAAAGAGGAAGGTATTAGGAAGCGTTGGCCAGATAGAAAGTAGAAAAACAGACCATAAAAGAACAAGTTATCCTTCCAGTATTCAACACCACTGCTGCTTCCTGCTATTAAGAGAAGGGTCTTTTCTTTAATATTTTATGAATAATTTATTCTGCCTCTGGAAGACTCAGACTTCATGTCCATACCTGTACTGTGCCCAGCTCAATAAAAACCAGAAAAAGAAAAGATCTTGTTACATTATTACAGGATTTTTATTTTTAAGAGAATGAAAACTCTAAAAAGTGAAATAGCAAAAACATATGCAAAGATGCTTTAACTCTACTGGCTTCTGTGCTTTAATTGTGAGGTTACATTCCTGTATTTCCCACACGTGCACTGTGAGCTCTTGACCATGATTTGCCAAACCCAAGAAACACCAGAGCTGAAGTACCATCACGTAGTCTATGTATTGTTTCTCTTTTTGCTACTTACTAGTGGGAAAAAATGCACATCTTGTAGTTAAAAGTATATCACTTGTCCATCAGTGGGCATCAGGTGACTCTTAATAATCACAAGCTTGAAGAATATGAAGCAGATGGCAAAAAAAATACCACAGAGCCAAACTAATGAATCAAATATTGATTACAAGAACTGAAAAAGCCAGAGCCCATTTTAACCATCTCCATAATTAACTTTGCCACACAGCAAAAAGTGGCTTTGGAAGCCAAATATTTCTAGTGTAGTTAGAAATAGTGTTGCTATAGCTACTACAGTTTTTGCTTTAGAAGTAATACATTCCATCTAACCACAAAATAGAATTTTCCAGTACATTGCAATCTAGCAGGTGATTTATCTAAAGACTACGTGTGTGTAGAATGAGAAAGGACAAAGCTATGAAGTCAGCTTCAGCAGTGTTTCTCTGATGTATTTCCTTGGTTCCTGTACAGTGTTGCTCAATTGTACAATATAATTCACTATTTCTGGATTTTAGCATGCCAGCAGGGACAGAATAAACCCAGAGCTGACTCAGAGTGCAGCAAAATTTATTTTCAAAACTTCCCAGAGCACAGCAAAATTCCAAAGAAATCTGCAGTAATTTTTAAATGACAACTGACTAAGTTTTCCACATTCTTGGGCACTTTTTTTGGTTTGGATGGGTTTTCTTTGCTGAGGGATTTTTAAGCAAATGAAAATATTACTAATCCTTCTGAAATTCGACTGAAATAAGGTACTTTAGAAAAAAAATAAGGCACTTTCAGTCATCGTGCAGAAGCTGGAGGAGAACCTCACGGCACAGGAAAGGGCTGATTAAAATGGTGGGATTTTTTGTTTTGCCCTCATGAGTCTGGTTTGCAGAACAAATCTTGCTTTTGTAAGTTTGTTCTTGCCTTTTTTCACTTCCAAATTCTACTCTTTGCTGTCACATGGGTCTTAAAAAATATCAACAATGCCTTAATTTCTCACTTTTGTGGAAGATTTTCAGGAAAAAACCCAAAACTTCAAGAGAACAGGAAGAAGAATTTTGTTAGATTATGAGGCAGCACACTCAGAAATCCATTACAGTATCAGACTGCAGCATCCTGCTGTCAACAGTGAGGTTGAAAACCTGAGTGTAAGGCCAGGCAGAATTACAAGCTTGAATTATATCTTGAGATTTCAACCACACAAGCAAGTCAAGGAAATACTCCCATTTCTCTTTCTTTTTGATCACCTGTCCCTTGTTCCTTATTTCACTCCCCATGCTGCTTTTGTAAAATCCCAGGCATGATGGTTTAACTATTGTTTGCTCCACAAGGGACTTAAGACACTAAAGTCTTTTTAGATAAATTCCTGCTACTAATTTTCAGGGAAAATCCATTTCTCTGTCTCTGCCCATGACTGCCAGCAGCTACCACAGCTCTGCCCCTGTTTAGGCTCAAACTGATTACAAGACCTCATTAACAGAAGACAGAATCATTCCAAAAAGAGTAGGAAGAGACACACATTTAAGTGGAAAATGACAAACGTTGTTCCACAGGGGTGTACAAACTAACACTTTATAGTCTCACTCCTGAAAATTCCCTAATCAGTACCACGACAGCGGATACCTCTGTAACAATGACAATTCTGGCTTTGTTAGAAAGATGAAACACCTGCTAACATCCCTTTTTGACTTGCCAGCAAAGACACTGCATTGTGAAAGATTTTGATGTAGCACTCTCAAGCGAAGCATGTTTCTGGCATTATAAGATCAGAATATGCTATCCTACTGAGACAGAGTTTCAGAAAGGCTGGCATTGTGACCTTCTCACCTGCTGTTTCATTTCAGCATAGACTTTTTCTGACTTCAGCTCCACCTGCCGCTTAAACTCCTCCAGGGCAGCATCTGCCTGCTGGGCCTGCAGCCTCTGTACCTCTGTCACCCGAGTCAGCTGCTCCTCCTTCTCCCTAGAAAGTCACAGAACATTTTCAGAGTTCAAGTATCAAATAAAAGAACAAGTGTGCTAGTGTAAAAGGGAGGCCTTTAACCCTATCACTTTAAAATAGTATTCAGATTTCAATTTCCTGTCCCAGCTTCTGCCAAACTTCCCTTAGCAATACTTTGAAGAAGGGAATAGAGGGCTGGAGTTATTTTCACTTTCACTTATTGAATTTCCCACGCCTAAACACAGCCTTCATGGCTGATGACAAGTCCTCTTCAAAGCCATGTTGACTTGAATGGTTTATTTCCTGCTCTATAACCCCCTATTTTAACCTCACCATTAAAAGTTTATTGCTCCCCCCCAGTTTTTAAAATAATTCCTTCTAGCATAATTGTCTTCTCCCATTAAAAACGAAGAAAAAAATGATCCCAGTGGCATCTTCACCCAGATGCAGGATTATTCACTGCTTGACACACATCCAAGTGCAAAGCAGGGTAATGCAGGACACATGGTACCTTCTTAATCCAGCAGAAACCCATGATGCTGTTCTATCTAGTCAGCCTTTAAAGTAATGACTCATGTTAAATCTTCACCCAAAGATACTTCTATTGACAGCCTCTTTACTGTTTGACCTATTACAGAATCACAGAATCACTTAGGTTGGAAAAGACCTTCAAGATCATCGAGTCCAACCATTAACTCTACTCAACCAAGACTAGCCTGAAGCCATGTCCCCAAGTGCCACATCTGGATTACTTTTCTTTGTATTAAAGTCTATACATGTATAGATGTCAATACATGTATAGAATTGGGTTTGGGTTTCTTAAGACATCACAGTATATTAACAGTTATGCACATATAACATTTCATGTACATGCACATATATATACACACATCTAAAGAGGCAGATCCATTAAATTATCATTCTGGTAACCTGTAAACATTCAAGAAATCTAGATGTGATTCCTCACACAGGCAGTGTTATTCACTATTTCACATTACTATGACCATGGACTTGTCTGACCGGGTTAAAACACAGGGAAGGCAGTGGTGGATCAATGGACAAAGCTGGCTCCACCAGTGGCTTGTAACAGAAGACACATTCAAACAGACCTGTGGTTGACATTTTTATTTTGCAGGCAGAGGAAGGACCTCATGATAAATTTCCCATTTTGACAGAAATTATTTCCATATAAAACAAAGAATCTGACACTTGAGAGATGGAAAAGATTGGCTAATTCATCTAGCCTGTCACCTTGCCAGCACTGAACCAGCTATTACAGCACTGAGCAAGGCTTTTATAAAGGTCAGGAAGCTGCCAAGCCCAAAGTTACAGGATTCACATCCTCTTCTGTGGTTTTCATACCAGACTTTGACAATGGGAAAAAGAACATAATCCTGCATCTCCACAAAGGGTCTGTTTGCAGTGAAGGAGAGCAGGGTAATTCCATTAGCACAGAGATCAAAGCAATGCCACAAGCCCTGAGTAAGCAAATTACTGTCAGACTTGGATGGGGTTTTTTCATTGTGCATATCTAAAAAAAAAAATTTAAGTTATTTTGGTACTTTACTCACAACTGATGGAATAACTGAGACATGAGACTGCTATTTTCCTTACAGAAAAAGGAAAATCTTTTCTTACCCAGCAACTGGAAACTGGAACAAAATCCTGCGTCACATTTTCAGTTATAATAGTTTAGGGGTTTTGGTTTTGTGTCCATAGAAGCATCCATCATCCCTATGCAGATATATTTTCTTTCTATTGCCACAGCAATTCCATTTTCTAAGCTTCTTTGAGAGGGAAGCATTTCTGCATATTAATCTAAGTTACCACATTCTCCAATTATTTATGAAAGAAAAACTGTACAGTAAAAAAGAAACCATCACCAAAATCAGCATTTTTCCCCATCCAAATTCAACGGGCAGAAAGACCATTTAGGATTTAAATTTCTGCTACAGAGGATCCAAAACTTTAAAATTGCAAGTACAAAAGCCCTCAGACACTTCTCAGAAAGAACACACCAATGATGCCCCCAGAGCGAAAACTGATATGAAGTGCCTGATGAGTCAGTTATTACACAGGCTCCAGCTGCAAAGGCATTTGGCTCAATTATCCCCCTGACACTCATGTACTAGGGAGCCGATTTTTTGGTCCAACAGATGGAAATGCAACAAATCTAAATGTTAGTGAGCCTCCAAATTTATCCATCTTCTTCCTGAGGAATGTATTTTTATTTTGAAATTTTATGATGCAAACTTTTTGGAAACCGGTTTTATGCACCTCCCTTCCTTTTAAGGCTTAATCCCATGAATAGATGCAACATCAGGAATAAAAACTCATTTTTTAGGGTTGTGGGAGCTAGCTCTACATCTTGTGCAGTGAAGATTTGTCCACCAGCTTAAAAAACATGTACAACAATGGACCAGAGTTCAAAAATATAAGAAAAGCTTTACTTTTTTTTTTTCCCCAAGACACTGAGCAATGGGCCTTGCATGAAGCACTAAAATATTCACTTTGAAGATTATTTTTTTCAGTTGGACTAGTTGTTAGGCCGAATGCAACACTATTAGATCACTTAAATCCCTAAAGCTGAGCCGGCTTGAATATATTTAAAAATAGGGTGAATTTACTCTTTGGCCCCAATTTAAAAAGCAGCAAATTCCTCTTGTTTCAGTTTATAAAGGATACGGCAACGGAATTAGCAATCTTACACAGCACAAAGCATCTCAGGGAAATTTGACTGTGAAGTCCAGAATTGCAATTTCAGAAAGCAGCACTCTGAAGTGCATTGATAAATGGAAAATATAAACATCTGACATGCTTCCTCTTCATGCTTAATCATATTTCCTTGCTTCACAAAATATCTTCCAAGAGGTAACTACTACCCAGACCAAGGCACTACAGCAGTGCAAGTCAGGTTAATGAAACACAGGGTAATCCAGTGATTTACAGGAGGGGTTAGATCAATATGACATGTCCCAGCATATATGGCTGAACCAGCATTGTCACTTGCAGGGCTCTCAACAACCCCTGGATAAAGCAAGGGCTGATGTAGCAGCAAACAAGACCAGGAGATGCACCTGCCTTGGTCACAGCCTCTTCAAGAACATAAAGCATTTCGGATTGCATGTAAGCATCCAAATGTACAAAATATGTACCTCCAGGAGCTGCATGTGGACAACTTCTTCCACATCCCATTAGCAACTCTGCACACAAGTGCCTTGGTTGTACTTTAAAGACCTTTCCAGTGATATAAATAATAACTAGACTGGGAAAATCCTCATGGCTTCTTATAAAAACTATACCAAGCCTTAATTAATGAATATGCAAAATTATTTGCCAGGTTTTCAAGTCCTGTTGGCAGCAGTGAAAACTTATTCATGTCCAAACAGAACATTGTTTCCTGACTATAATGGAGCACAAAAGCAGAGTGAGAAATATTTACAGTAAAGATGCATTTTGCCACTGAATAATCTTCTGAAACTTAGATTCTGATGGAGGCCACAAAATGGAGAGGGTCCATCTCTTGTCTGTCACAGGCTAGTAGGACTTTGAGTTTATGCTTGTAGATACAAAAAAGGCCTGAAAAAGCAGAGTAATAGCTGAGTCCTCCTCATACTGATGAAGCCAAGATCTTTAAATTACGATCTGTTTAGAAATGCTCTAGAAAATCTAGGAAAATACTCCCTTAGAAATCCTGCTGATTCCACATCACCTATATGCACTAACCCCGTGCCTTTAGATTTGCTCTACTTCCACAAGTCTTTGCCAGTTCCTTCCTCCCCTCCTCAAATATTAACACTTCTGAGAGAAAATTGCTTCACTCCCCACTAAACTGCAAACTGTTTGCTTGCAGGAAGGCACCTGATGAAGGGTATCACTGAGTTTCTTTCTAAACAGCTTTCCTTTTATTTGTTGACACCAGGAATAAAAATTGATACTGTTACTAATCTGTGTTGAAACACAATAATTTATCACTGTTTATAAAGCCCATTTAGATTTTTAAAAATCTATATAAACACGTGTTCCCAAAGGAGATGACAACTCACTAGACAGTTTCCCACATCAACATAACACACTGCATGCTGAGTAGCTAAAAAAAACCCTCCACCAGAGCATACACAAACTTCCCATGCAACAGCAACACTCCGGAATTTTACCTTAGTATCTTCTGTGTATAAGCTACAGACACATGAGTACCCATCCAGCATATGGACAGATTTATAAGATTTTGTACCCTGAAATACAAGTGAACACAGGATCCTGCTCCTGATCTCAGAGAGCCTTTCCCATGGAGGTGCCCAGATACAGGCAGAACTCCAGAGGAATGCAGCAGTTTATCCATTTATAGCCAAATGCAAGATCCGTGACACCAATTTTTAGCTGGGCACAATAATCACTAAAAAACACCCCACACAACAGCCCCTCTAATTTTGTTTCTAGAATGCCAAGTATTTCAGTGATACAAATAATGTATTAAATCCTAAAATACCATTTCTCTGTAGAAATAAGGAGTGCCTGGGTTAGGTTATTGCTAAAGAAAACCACCACAGCAGTAATAACAATTCTCTGAAATACACAGAGAATTTAATTCTCCTTCTCTGCTATTTTTAACTAATAGTGACAGTTAAGGAAAAGCTTTCAATGTAAATTACATATTGGGCACCCATGGTGGCTGTGGTTAGAGCAGCTTAAAGTAGAGGCAGTTACTACCAGCAAAGAGGGAGGAACAACACGAGGGCCCAAACATATGGAATATGTGCAGAACACTTCTTTTTGGTGGGGAGAGGAAGACAGACAGTGTGAAGTCATTCAAGCGGAATGATAACTAAACCAAAGCCAGATCAAAGGAACAAAGAAGAAAGACTGAAATGTGAAGCTGAAATATTTATTGCCTTCAAAACATCATCCCCATCCTGTCCCTGGGCACTTTAATATTTCGAAGTTGTTAGAAAGCATTCTAACTTGTTTCATCAATTTAAAGAAATAAAGCCAAAAATATGTAGTAGAGAACAATTTTATCT